TCGATCCCGGGACTCGATGCCGGGACTCGATGCAGGACTCCAGGATCATGACCTGAGCCGAAGGCAGTCGCTTAACCAACTGAGCCACCCAGGTGCCCCTGGTGTCACTGTTATAATGCGGACCTATCATTAGGTCACTTCTGATGATTATCAGCATGCCAACAGTGTGTGCCCCAAGAAAGAGCAGCTGACCACAAAGCTCCCTCGCAAGCCACTGCATTCAGTGCTACACCCGATGCCCATTTGCCCTCATCCTTTGTCCTAGACTGGTTTAGCAAAAGAAACGAGCCCGAGACCCTGAGCCAGAGCCACCCCTCAGGGGCATGTCCACAACTCACGGAAAGCTCGCAGCTGCCTCCTCACCTGCGGCTTCTGAAGAAGGATCGAGGTAAAGCCCCTGCCGACCAGCAGCCACCAGCAGCCCATGGGAAACTCTGATCCTGCTCCAGGCCTCCGAATCAGAATCTGTTATTTAGAAAACCCTCCAGGGAAGCATAGGCTCGGGTAAGTTAAAGAAGCGCTGCTCTGGGAGGGCCAGGGGCGGGGAGGGGATGTCCTAGCGCTGATAAATCATCAGATAGGTTTCACGGTGGAAACGGTACTCAGAGGCTGTTGGACAGGTGGGAAAAATGTGTGATGAGAACACAGAAAAGTAAGCAAAGGAACTAAGAGGAACCATTTAACGCCTTCCCTCGTCCATCTCCAAAAAGCACAAGAAGTTGTACAGGAAAGGAAAGGAAATCAGATGTGATACTTGGATCCGTGAAATCACAGCTACATAACCAATAGTGTTGGAAACACTGAACGGAAGGGATATATTTCTATTGTATTAATTAGTCAGGGTTCTCCAGACAAACAGAACCAAATCTGCATTTGGGAAGAGCCGTTCTGGCAGTCTGGAGAGTCCGTTGGAGCCCTGATCTTTTGTTGGTCTTACAGTCTCAATTAAAAGGCAAACTGGGGTGGTGAAGGATTTGGGCCACAAATGTAATACAGGGTTGACATCTTTGATTTATAAAAAAAAACAGATTGATAAGAAACAGCAGAATCTGTCTGGGGGAAAATGGGCAATTCGCCTGAAAAGATCACTTCCAGAATATGTTAAATGGTTCATATGAAAAATGATCAGCCTCACTGCCATATAAATGACTAGCAAAATAATAATTTCATCTATTTCACCCATCCCATTAGAGATGATGGGGAGTCATAGCCCTCAGTGTTGGCAGGAATTAGATGAGAAAGACATTTCCATTAATGGTGTGATAGGTTTAACAGCTCAGGAGGGAACTTTCGCAATAAGCTGATAATTCAACTTACAGACCTGATGACTATATTTCTGGGAATTTATCAGAAAGTTTGTCAGGAAGTTATCAAAGATGTGGACAAAGACTTATGTATAAAGTGCACTAGTTATAGTAGGCAAAACAAAAAAACAAAAAACCCACCCAAAAACCTACTAAGAGGGGCACCTGGGCGGCTCAGATAGTTAGGCTTCTGCCTTTGGCTTGGGTCGGGGTCCCAAGGTCCTGGGATCGAGCCCCACATCGGGCTCCCTGCTCGGCGGGGAGACTGCTTCTGCCTCTCCCCCTGCTCGTGCTCTCTCTGTATCTCTCTGTCTCAAATGAATAAATAAAATCTGAAAAAAACCAAAACAAAACCCACTAAGATATCCCACCCTCTCGGGAATTATAGGAACCCACGATATGATATTATGTAAGCATAAGCAATGTTTCAAATTATGCAAAAGCTTCATCAATTCTGCCAAAATGTGAATAGAGGCTATCATTAGTTGGTGACATTGTGAGTGATGTCTACTTTTTTAAAAAATATTTTTCCAGAGGTGGCTGGCTGGCTCAGTGGAGCATACAAGTCTTGATCTTAGGCTTTTAAGTTTGAGCCCTGCATTGGGTGTAGAGGATACTTATTTTTTTTAATTTTATTTATTTATTTGACAGAAAGAGATAGCGAGAGGAGGAACACAAGCAGGGGGTGTTGGAGAGGGAGAAGCAGGCTTCCTGTTGAGCCAGGAGCCCAGTGCAGGACTCGCTCACAGGACCCTGGGATCATGACCTGAGCCAGAAGGCAGAGACTTAACAACTGAGCCACCCAGGTGCCACCCTGAGGGTACTTAAAAATAAAGTCTTAAAGGGGTGCCTGGGTGGCTCAGCCAGTTAAGCATTAGACTCTTGATTTTGGCTCAGGTCATGATCTCAGGGTCTCGAGATGGAACCCTGTGGTGGGGCTCCTGCTTAACGTTCTCTCTCTTCCTCTGCCCAACCCCCAGCTCACATTCTCTCTCTCTCTCAAAAATAATAATAAAAATAAATAAAATCTTTTAAAAAATAAACAAGTTTTTCCATATTTTTAAATTTTTTCATAACAATAAGAAGTTTAGCCCAAAATAAGGAAATGCGGGCTGAATTGCTTGCAGGGAGGTAACTTCTTGGAGGCCTTGAAAACGGAATCACACACATGCATTCCCAGCCTACCTTTAAATTTTCAACCCACATAAACAACAATAGGATAACAATTTACCCTCTTCTAAATCCCTATGGTATGCGAAGCACTTTACTTGCTTAATCTCATTTAATGCAGCGCCTCTCCAGAGAAAGTATTATTAACAGTATTCCTAATTTAGAGGTAAAAGAAGTGAGGCTTGAAGAGGTGAATGACTGGCTTAAGGCTTTACAATCTCGTTTTAGTGTTGTCTTGACCCTCTTCCTTTTTCACCTGATTGCCTTTTATTTAGTGCAGCTCATCAGTGTATATCCTGGTCTTTGAGCTGAAGACCACAAATGCACAGACCCTTCATCTCTCTGGAAAACTTTTTTTTTCCCCCCCAAAGGAAATGCATCTGGGGCCTGGGGGCAGGCTTTGCTGGGAGCACTTCCCCCTTCCCTCTTCCTCTGGCCTTTAACTTTTGCCCCTGGGGCCAGGAGCAGCTCTGTCACTGGGTAGCTGGACTCCTTGGTGCCTCTTCCTCCAGGATCAGAGGTCAGTGCCTGCGAGGGCTCTCATTCCCCTGAGAGAGCCAGCAGTCAGGACGGCATTTGCTCTCCCTCCGGCTCCTTCCTCCCCAGTCCTGGGCTCTCTACCCCGCACCCTTTGCTCTCTCCAGCTCCCCTTTCTTGTGCCTTCTCCTCTCGACTTTACTCTTTTCTCCTCCAGTTCAATCCCCTGGTTCCTGTCTTTGCCTCCATTGCTTCGCCTTTATTGTCACTGGGAAAGCGAGTACCCAGTTACTGTATTTGGGGGGAAAAGAGGCTTTTTATAGAGCCGTGGTCCTAAGACTTGTTCGTTGACACGCAACCCATTAATGGGTACTACGTCTCACAATTCCCTTCTCCTACGAGTCTCCTGGGGTTTGAGGGCCTATTTTGGGGCTGTACCCAGGCTTGACCAGACCGGGCGGTGGGTGCGCGCGTGCCAACGGCTGGACCGACCGAGAGTCCGCAGTGGGAGCCGGCGAGGGGGAGGCTTCGGGTGCAAAGGTTGGAAAGAGCGGCAGGGAGGACGCCGCAGAAGGGGGTCTGAAGAAACTTCGTGACCTCCTGTGCATTCACGTCCTAGGCGGGAGTTCGGGCGACCGGAGGCCCCCGGCGCCTGCTGCCCCGCGAAGGCTGGAGATGGCGGTTTCCCCAAGCTCCGGCCTGCCCAGGGGTCTGCTCATCCTCACGTTCTTCCAGCTGTGCCAGCCGGATTCGGGTAGGCGCCGCCTGGGTCTCCCTCCCTGGCCCCCTCAGCCGCACCCGCGGCCGGAACGGCTCAGGAGAGGCCTCGCGAGCGCCCTCCGCGGGGGTCCCCGAGGCGCAGGAGCTACGGTCGCGGGGACTGGGCCTGGTCGCGGTCGGCGCTCAGCCGCCCCCTCCGCACCCTGTCCGCCCGCCTGGTTTTCGCAGCCCACTTCGACGTGATCGGGCCGGCGGCGCCCATCGTGGCCGCGGTGGGTGACGACGTCGAGCTGCCCTGCCACCTGTCGCCGAGCGTGAGCGCCGAGCGCATGGAGCTGCGCTGGGTCCGCGGGAAGGTGGCGACAGTGCTGGTGCGGCGGGACGGGCGCGAGCAGGCGGCCGAGCAGGCGGCCGAGTACCGCGGCAGAGCCACGCTCGTGGCCCGCGACATCGCGGCAGGGCGCGTGGCCGTGAGGATCCACCGGGTCAGGGCCTCGGACGACGGCGAGTTCCGATGCTTCTTCCGGCAGGACGGAAGCTACGAGGAGGCCAGCGTGCACCTGAAGGTGGCCGGTGAGTGCGCGCGGTTGCGCTTTGTCCGGCGACTTCCAGGCGGCGCACATTTGCCTGTGGCCCCGTGACTTTGGAAGCCACCCGATTCTTTGCCCAAATCCCTCCTGGGATGGAAGAGGTTGGCAGGCAGGCCTAGAGTGGGAGGTGACCCGGAGGGGCGTTTGAGAGTGGGGACAGAGCATTTCCCCACGTCATGAGTTACATAAATGCAAGATGCAATGGCTATATAACATTCTTCGCCGTGAGTACCTCGTAATACACTAATACACTTGCTCCAGGCTCAGAATTGAACATTTAAGTCGTGTCTACCTTTCACCGCTAGGGTGAGGCTGTGCTGCGCATCCTTTGAAGCTGCTTTATGGATTAGAACCTAAGGGCGGATTTCAAAAAAAAAAAAAAAAAAAAAGAACCTAAGGGCGGATTTCCTAAGGTCCTAGAGCGTGGCTGCTCCTTCACATTCTTGATCCACGGAGAAAAGTATGTGGTTTTTGTTTCCTTTTTGGCTTCAAGCCCACATTCAGGGCGGAAACCATAATGGAAATGGTAAGCATTCAGGAGGAGAGCAAGCATTGTGCTCTGACTTTCCCACTTACTAGTGAATGGAAGCAAGCAAATCCCTTTCTGAGCCTTATTTCCTACTGAAAAAATGGGCATGCACCCATCAAATGAGATTTTGCAAGAATGAAATAAAATTACACGATACCTAAGAAACTGCCTTGTCAATGTTTGCAGAAGCATTGCATACTTGTAAGATATTATTACTGTGCCTCAGACTGCAGGTCGGTGGCTCTGTAGCATATAAATGTATTGCCTTTTATGTATATATTAAAGGTAAAGTTAAAAAATACTGGGGTGTAATTTGGGTCCCTGCCTCAGAACAGGGTGTCCCATGAGGCAGCATTATGTATAACTCACATTTCCTTTTTAGGGAATTATCTTAAAAGTTGACAATAAAACCCTAGAGATGTGATAGCATAGAACTGTCATTGTTACCTCTTATGAGTGATAGATATATTTGAGATTCTGCTGAAAGTGGCAGCCCTTTCCATGAAAAGAATCCACACTGTCACATAGACACACATACTGGAACATGGATTTCGACTAACAGTGTGGACACGTGTTTGAGGAGCCTTCTCTGCAGCTTGGTGTTTGTCTATACTCTGTAGAATTGTGAGAATAATCAGGCTGAAGACAGAAGGGAAAAACAGCTTTATGTTGATATATGTTAGGACATAACTGTGTTGGGGGGAAGACGAGGTTGAAACCCATTTAAGAAAATTCCTGAATCAGTATCACAGGTAAAGGAAGCTTAGATTGACAGCTACAAGCTCCATGCAAAGAAGCCGCAATCCCCCTTCTCTTCAAGTACTCCTCTCGGATCATCCTCAAATACCCACTCCCAGTTCTCCCTCTCTTCAAAGTCTTTTGGTAATACTTCAGACCGCAAAGCCCTCTCCCCTCTCTGGAGCTCCCTTACCTGCCTTTTTTCGCCATTGGTCTCCCTGTTCCTGCTGATCAGAAAAGCTCCCTATATCTGTCCATCAAACTCCTGCCCTCACTTCAAACCCTAACTCCCAATATGGCATCCCTCTCTGATAAGGTTATGAAATTCCTTTTATTGATGCCACAGCTTCCTTGTGTCATGAAATAGGAGATGAGTCCCTCTCACTCCCAGTCCCTGTGCGCTTCTTTTTCTCAAACTGTGTAACCCTGTGGTTATAAGGCTCCCAGAAGGTTGTCCACTGAAAAAGTAAGGCCAGCCTCTCTCTCCATAGCTCTGGGCTCTGATCCTCACATCCATATGGAAGTTCGAGAAAATGGAGAGGTCCGGCTGGAGTGTACCTCGGTAGGATGGTACCCAGAGCCCCAGGTACAGTGGGGGACTTCTGAGGGAGAGAAGTTTCCATCCACGTCAGAGTCTAGGAATCCTGATGAAGAAGGCCTGTTCACTGTGGCAGCTTCAGTGATCATCAGAGACCCCTTCATGAAGAATATATCCTGCTGTATCCGGAACCTCCTTCTTGGCCAGCAGAAGGAAGTAGACATCTCCATACCAGGTCAGTGAAATCAGCGCTGGGTTCCTATCGGACACAGTTTCAGGGCCATATTACCTGGGACACCTTCCCAAGGCAGGCCCTCATGGTGCAGCTGTCTACTGTCCCCACCTAAGCTCCTGACCACTGACATGAAGGAGCCCCACCAATTTCATTAGAAGAGAAAAGATTCCAAATGCATAAAATCTGCCTTGATCTCATAGAAATACCAGATTTTCCATTTTAGGAGATATATCTTAGATACAGAGGCTTTGCCTCTGGGGCTTTCTCTCCTTGAGTAATAAGAAAACCCATTTCTACCCTTGCCCCTCTGTCTTCCCCATCCTATGCTAGAGCTCTGTCTAGGTTTCCAGGGTCCTCAGGAAAGCAAATCTCATTATTCCCTCCAGACTACCTCTGGTTCAGGCAGGAACCTTTCCTTATTCTTTGGTCATTGAGTCCCATCCTGTAGCACACAGAGGTGACATTTTCCCTTCCTGATTTACTTCCTTCATCCCCTTGGCTTCCATCCTGCATTGATAATTAAGAAAGAATTTCCACAATAACATGAATTGACCCATTACTTTCTTCCCTTCCCAGGTCCTGTCCCGAAATGACTCTTCTTTTCTTCTTGCCCATAATCAAAACTTTATTGAAAAACTGATACCAAAATAGATCATTGTTGTATCCCTTACAGAACTAAACATAATTACATTATCTTGGTACACTAACTGGAATTACTGAACCGATAAGGCTTTCTGCAGTGTAACAGAAATTCAAGAGGTTGTGGGGACCATTAGTGTTGCTTTCTTCTAAATGAGCACCCTTCTGTGAGTCTGGCCTTTCTCCTGTTGGCTGGGACAGCACTGCTGAGCACCCTCTACAAAGGACCACCGTCTGAGCATGGCTGAAATCCAGGGTAATCTTGTAGCAACCTTGACATTTTCCATCCATAAAAAGGGAATTTGGGCTTTGAACTACCCATTTCTTTCTTTCTTTCTTTTTTTTTTTTTAAGATTTTATGTATTTATTTGACAGAGAGCACACAAGCAGGGGGAGGACAGAAGGAGAGGGAGAAGCAGACTCCCTGCTGAGCAGAGAGCCCAATCCCAGGCTCCTGGGATCATGACCTGACCTGAAGGCAGACGCTTAACCAGTTGAGCCCCCCAGGCGCCCCCTAGCCATTTCTTTTTATGTTTTTTTTCTTTTCCCCTTCCAAGGGCAGGTGTAGTAAATCTCCAGCCAAGGGCATGTTGATCCTTCTGCAAGCCCAGCCAGTCCCCATCTCTAAGGTGACACTGTCAGGCCTGAAATGACTCCTGTTCATCTTCATTCCTCTCTTTCTCTGCCCTCTCCCACCTAAGATCAACATTTTTCTGAAAAGCTTGGAGCAGCAACATTGGAAGGTCTATTTTTTGCCCCGGGAGGAGTGGGAGAGGGCCAGGTCATCCTCTCTTCCAACCCCCTTCGGAATCAAGTAGAGCTGGCCTTGCTCAGAGTCGCACAACACCTCGTCCTTCTTGGGGATTTTGTTTCAGCTTCCTTCTTCCCAAAGTTGACTCCCTGGATGGTGGCGGTGGCTGTCATCTTGATGGTCCTAGGAGTTCTCACAATTGGGTCCATAGTTTGCACTTGGAGACTCTACAAGGAAAGATCCAGACAGAGAAAGGACGAATTCAGCTCTAAGGGTAAGTCATAGGCTGCTTGTCGGGCGTGCTTCCGAGTGGGATTGGATCCAAGTCCTTTGGGATGGCTGCCAATGGGAAGATATTTGATTCTAGAATTTTGAGAGTCAAGAAGGGGGATTATAAAGCACACTGATACCCAATATGAAGGTCTGGGGCGAAGGAGTCAAAACCAGTGCTAATTGAGATATCAGACCAGCTATTCACTCACTGCCCTCCCTCAGACTCTCTCCTGACTTCTAACTTGGTTTCCCAGGAAAGATTAACGATCTGATCCCAAGCCAGTAGGAACTTCCTGCACATTTCTTAGAAAAACAAAACAAAACGAAACATAATCCTTGTTCCTCATTTGTTGATAGAGTTTCAGTAATCGGGTAATCATGAATTAACCCTGCACTCCTTTGTGTGTTCCTCACACTAGCTTTCTCCCCTCCCTCATGTCCACTCTAGAAGGTCATTAAGGTATTTCTGTTTCTTTTCTAGAGAAACTCCTGGAAGAACTCAGTAAGTTCTCTCTTCTTGTCATTATTTCACCAACAAGGTGTTCTCTCTCCTTATTAGAAAGCCTGTCACTGACTCTCTCTCTCTTTCATTGCAGAGTGGAAAAAGGCGACAGTGCATGCAGGTCGGTGGCTCTGAACTTCTCAGACTTCTCAGGGGCTCTGAGGCTCTATGCCCCAGGGATTCAAAGTCCTGTCATACTTGGAAATAAAAACACTAACCCAGTTTTGCGGGGGGATAGATAGGGGAAAGATGATGGCAAACGGCCTTCACATTTTCCTTGAGGCACATAGAAGGCCCTTGGAAGATGTTTACAAGACAAGCCCCTCTGACAGGGACCCGTGACTGTTGACGGGTCACAGGAGGGGGCCAAACAGCTCCCCTCCTGTGGGGACCTGCCAATTTCTAGAACAGTGCTCTATTTTTTTTTTTTTTTTTGAGAAGAAAGAATAGGTCTTGTGACCCCTAATGCTCACTGATGCTGAGACTTGCTCTCTCTCTGTCTCTAGTTGATGTGACTCTGGATCCAGACACCGCCCACCCCCACCTCTTTTTGTATGAGGATTCCAAATCTGTCCGACTGGAAGATTCACGTCAGGAACTGCCTGAGAAACCAGAGAGATTTGACTTCTGGCCTTGCGTGTTGGGTCGTGAGACCTTCACAGCAGGGCGACATTTCTGGGAGGTGGAGGTAGGAGACAGGGCTGACTGGGCGGTCGGTGTGTGCAGGGAGAATGTGGTGAAGAAAGGGTTTGACCCCATGACTCCTGAGAATGGGTTCTGGGCTGTGGAGTTGTATGGGAATGGGTACTGGGCCCTCACCCCACTGCGGACCCCTCTCCCCTTAGCAGGACCGCCCCGTCGGGTTGGGATTTTCCTGGACTACGAATCAGGAGAGGTCTCCTTCTACAATATGACTGATGGGTCCCATATCTATACTTTCTCCAACACCTCCTTCTCTGGCCCCCTCCGGCCTTTCTTCTGCCTGTGGTCCTGTGGTAAAAAGCCCCTGGCCATCTGCCCAGTCACCGACGGGCCTGAGAGAGTCACAGTTGTTGCTGATGCCAAGGACTTCACTAAGGAGATCCCACTGTCCCCCATGGGGGAGGACTCTGCCTCTGGGGATACGGATACCCTTCATTCTAAGCTAATCCCTACCCAGCCCAGCCAAAGGGCACCTTAAGGAATGTCCCAGCCCAGCTGCTTTCCTTTGTCCTAAGCCCTCCCCTCCATCCCCTCTGACATACCAGTGGCCAGGTCCACCCAGTCCCTGTTTCCCCATGTTGGGAACGGATCAGTTGGTCTTGGGGAGGTGGGGTGCGGGGTGCGGGGCCTTCCTCATCGGCTTCTGTCCTGATCCTCAGGGGGCAGGAGGTCACGCTGAAGCTGCTTCCAGCAGTCTCCTATCCCTGGAGGCCAAATCCTATAGGGAGGGGCAGCTCAGCGATCAAGATGAGGTTAGGTTGGCATGGGGTTATGACAGAAACATCTGGGTGTCCAGGATAGGGATGTGTCGAGGAACAGGTTTTAGGCAAGCAGGAAACCCAAAAGGTTCTGGGAAGAGAAGATTCAAGGCTGAAATCCCATAAAGGAACTGGGGGGACATCATGAGGGGAACCCAGGCCAATGATGAACACCTGGCCGGTTTCTAGACTTTCTGGGCCTGTATGTCCAGCTTTCTAAGACATGTCCTACAGAGTAGAGAAAACTGGCCCTACTTCTGCGGGATCTGAGCCATGGGTATGGGGACCTGGGGAAGGGATGAAATGAGTGGGGCTGGGGGGCGGACAAAAGATCTGATCCAGGAGAAAACTTCAGACCAAACCCAGGCTGGGTGCCTGGCCGTGCCCCAGATCCTGCTCTCCTCTCTGCCTTGACCTGTTTCCCCCTCACCCGGGGGTCCTTCCAACCTCACTCCGTGGACGCCACACAAGTTTCCAGCTCTCTTCTTCCTTTCACTGTAGAATCTCTCCATCCCAGAGGCTTTCCAGGAATCCTCCTCAGTGACATCACCCCTTTATCCGCCAGGGTCGGCCTCAGGGCCCCTCAGCCCTCCTCCCAACCTCTGGGTTAAACCCCCAAAGGCATCTTCAGTTCGCTCCCCCCGCCGCCCATGCGCACCCCCCACCAGGGTTCACTCGCCCCACCCCGCGGGCTGCTTGTCCCCGGGCCCCAGATGCTGCGTCCCTGTGTGAGCACAGCTAGCTGACCATGTCGCCTTGTGTCTGCACTTCCCTGTATACGGTGGCTCGGCATGCCCCTGAACTGCGGGTTTATCTGGGCTCACACCTTCCATTTCCATTGCGTTTTTCCTGTTTCCAGAGTAGATGTCGCCCATGGTCTTAACCTAATAAATAAGTCTGTTGATTGCCGAAGGGGGCACCTGCATCTTTCCTTTATCCCGACAAGTGGAAGTGAAGTGAGAACAAGCGGGAACGCAGCTGGCTGGCCAGGGCCCCGCGTCTGCGTGTCCAAGGCTCACCTGCGGCCGGAGGGCGGGGGGCTCGCCGGGGCAGGGGGCACAAGGGGCTGTTGGCGTGTGGGGATCTAGCTGCCCCCAGAGGCCAGCGTGCTGGTGGCTGCCCCCCCCTCAGCCTCCGTTCGGGGGGCGGGGGCTGACTCCATATCTACTCCTAAAAAGGTCATTGACTCCAGGTGTAGGTGAGTGAGGCCACCTCTTCAAATGTTAACAGTACTTTTCTGGGAGGAGGAAATATTTGGGAAATTTTTAATGGTAATGCCTTGTAATTGGAAAACCAAAAGCAAAAAAACTTGGTGATCTTTAGAAACCCCTTTTCCAAGGATTCCTGCTTGAAGAGCCTTGTAGTTCAGTGACATGCACACTTTCCCTGTGTTTCCCCAAACGAGGGTCGACAGTGGTCTCCTTCATAGAAGGTCTGACCTGAATGCAATTCAGCCATCTCTGCTGCCCAAAGGGACGGAATGGGAGTCTCCAAAGGTTCCGCAAGTGGCGGGAAAATCACCTCAGATGCGTGTCTCCTGCTAGGAAATCATGGAAATCAGATCTGTTAACGGATCAAACAACAAGAAATCCAAATTCCAAATTATGCTCACCCTAACATATTATTTCCATTATTGTACCACATTACATTTCTCATGATTAAGCTAAAAACCAACTTTCCTAAATTTTCAGTCTACTAACTACCCTCACAGAAGACTGTGACAAATTAAAGCCCAACATTGTCTCTTAGGTGGAAATTCTGAACACCAGACAGGTCTATTATCATGTTCACTGTGATTTGTGACATACAACATTGTCAACAACTCTCCATTACTCAGCTTTGTTATTGTCAGCCTCCAGGCCCCATCTCCGTTTAGGTTTTGGTAATGATTGTGGTTATGATTATGATTTAGGACTTCGGGTTCAAGACCTACATAACAATATCCAGATAAACACATTTCCATATATGTACTGCTAGATTATTTTAAAATGAATCCTCATGAAGGCTTGTAAATCAGGAGACCACACAAGTATTTGGGGAAGAGGTTGAGAAGAAGATGTAATGGATGAGAAGTGACTGTCGACATTTTCCCTCTGCCTCCTTTCAGAGATGAGAATCTGAAGCCAGGAGACATAAAGTGATTTGATTAAAGCATTGAGTCTGGGCGCAAAGCAGGACCTGAACGCTGGTGTCCTTGCTCTCTGTGTCTAGGACATCTTCCGTGAACAAACCACAGTTGAATAGCAGGACTAGAGGCTTAGAGAAATTACTGAGGTGGGAGAGTCTTAGGCATGGAGAGGGTCAGGAGAAGAAAAAAGCAACTAAGTGTGCCACCTTTTACTTGGACCAAGGGCTGGCACCCAGAGAACCAGATAGAAAGGGCCCCTTCCCGTATCATTTCATGGATCCCCAACACCCAGTGTCCTTCCCATGCCCCTGCCTCAAACACTTCTCACCCCACACTGTCCACCCCATGCCACCCCTCCCCCACTGTCCTCCTGGGAGAAGAAAATCATTTATCATGGCTTTAAGTGTTCGTTTGTGTTCAAATTATACTTTTAGAAAGTCAGAGAAAAACAAAGTCCAAATTTCTTTTTTTTAAAGATTTTATTTATTTATTTGAGAGAGAGAGAATGAAAGACAGAGAGCATGAGAGGGAGGAGGGTCAGAGGGAGAAGCAGACGCCCC